TGACCACCAACCACTAAGGGACACTTCCAATTCACGGACTGGGGAACGCATTTGCCCGGTTAACTGCGAATAGATGGGTATATCGCTTCATTGAAGCAGTGGTTGTGGAGAACGTGGCAGTTTTCGCTCGGCAATATGACCGACGTTTATAGGACACATCATGACGCGTGCGAATCTGAGGCGTCAAAAGTTACTGCAACCATATTGCTCTACAGATAACATTAGGTTATGCAAATAAAATCCTTAGCATTGGGGGTGGGAATGCCGCTAAATCCATATGACCTCACTTAATAAAGTCTCGTAAGTCAATCTTTCTTTCTCATTTTACTTCCTTTTATTGAATATACAAAGATACAATTTTCAGGAAGGGGGGAAGCGGCCAATCAGAGGGCTGCCATACAACACACAAATGGGGAAAGTCAGGCGGTGGTGGTGGGATTCGAACACTCGTCCTCCGGGGTGATAATTGGTGACGTTACCACCGGGCCACCACCGCCCGGTGCAATCAAATATGCGTACGCTCTGATGACTTTAGTGTGTCAGTAATCAATATGTGCTGAATTTTGATCCAAAATGACAGACGCGTGCTTGGGACTTGTTTAATCCAGTTCGAATTGTATACTGCTTCCATATGCCCGAAGGCATTGTCCCAACTGTTATAATTCTACCAACGAAATTATCCGATAAAACCACTTATCATTAATTAGTGGTAATTTCTTATGAAGCACTCGCCACTGTCTACTGGTCATCTTGCTTGGGTGCAAGATAAATTAATTAATTATTGTGAAATCCAATCGTTGCCTGGGATTAAAACCTGGCCATTTCTCGTGGTGCTGTGCGATATCCACGGTCGTAGACGAAAAACGTAGCGCGTCCCCACGACCGTAGGTATGCTTGTTTCTTTCGACTTTTACGGTTGGAACTAGGTAACAATATATACACACGATCCCTAAGGCTCTTGAGCCCACTAGTTATTTCTGTCGGCTGAAGACATCATCCACTACGGAATCCCCTCACGCCTCGATGGGTTAGCAGTCGACAGCTATTGCTAGGGCGTAATGTCATGTCAGGGGTGTCCATTTACCCTAAGATGTCCTAGTGGCTGAGGTAAAAGTTTTAGTGCCAGTAAACAAGGTTGTAGAAACGCTTGAATGCTGCTGGGGTTAGTAGTATCTATCTACGCTGATTGCATTATTAACGGTTCGGTACTGCATGTCTATTTAAAGTTCAAAAGGTTAAATTTGAAAGTGTTCACCACTGATATGTCACCAGTAAACTAAGCTAGCAATTAATGCCAACAACCGTAGTGATGGGCCTGGTCTATGAAATGTTTTACCTAGCGGCAGATTTCTCATTCTTCAGGTAGACCGCACCAACGATGTTTGACAGCTGTCAAGTGAAATTAAGCTCTGCTACATATTTTTGTCAAGTGAGCCCGAAAGTATTTTGATCATAATTTAGATTGGTTGGTTCTCGGCTAGAGTTGACGATTGCTGTCATCAGAAAGTCACGCTCAGTGCAATCACTGAAATTATGTCAACGTCACTGATTTTCAGACCGCGGCGTGAAGATAAACTCCCATTTGAGAAAGTTACGAAAAATAATCCTTGGCTCTAAAGCAAGACCGAAAACAAAGGATGAGAATCTGGTAACAAAATGCAGAAATTCTTGAGCATTCGAATTTGAAATAGCGTGGTGGACACGCATACCAGCTGTTCGTCGCCGTTTATTGCCTAGCGTATCTAACTGTTTAGATTATGGAGAACGAGAAAGAAGCTATTGAAGCTTGCAACTCCAGTTGCAGTATATCGTCGATGCCTATACAGGAACTCTTGTAAACAAATTTATTGATTTCCCGTGGAAACACTTTCAGTAAAAATACAGTCGAGGGGACGTGACCCTGTTTCTAAGCGTGTGATCACTACAAATGTGGAATTGGTGATTCAATAGGACACTTGTAACAAAATCGTCGCATCCATAGTAGAGAATGCACTATGCTGCCACTGTTCTAGTGTTGAACACTACCCTTCAGATGCGGGGTCGACGTGGGCCACTCATCGTTGTTGCGGTTGGTCCATGCACACGACTGCCCTTATCCAGTTTCAGTTTTTACAACCATTAACCATGCACTTTCGTGCGCCGGTTTCGGTTGCCCATTTGGATAAAAGAGCGTAGTGAAGACTGGAATGTCGAAGCAAATTCAAGCGGAAGATGGGGAATACATTTAGACTGGTTAGGAAAATAACGAGTGGATGCACGAGCGCCACTGTTTGCGACACCCAGCCATATCACTGTGTAGCTAACCATCGGAGACCATCATCCCGAGGTCCCCAGCCAGGGAGCCTATGTGACTTAGTCTCCTGGTTGGGGTTTCATGCCCTCGTGCCAGGTCTTAGCTTGACCGCCCTTCGTTTTTTCCAATCGCTACCGGCCTTGGCAAACGTCGTTCGCCGTGGCAACCTATCTGGTGACATGCGTAGCACATGTCCC